TTACAAAGATGAGGAACAGCTATTGAGGTTCCCAGGGTGTTAGTCCAAGGAGTCCTTATGTTGGGGAGTATTTTGGTTCTCAACTGTGGTGTAAAAGCCAATCTGTTATGAGATATGTGGCCCATAATGGTCAAAAGTACTAAACTGTGCAAATGATTCACTTGTGTGTTAAAAAGTAAAGTAGAAGAATGTAGTGGAACTTTGTCAACTTTTTTGGATGCCCACAACCCCTGATAAACTTATCACTGATTGGAATATTTCCCATATAATTAATTCATGGTTCAACAAGGTGAAAATTCATCTTCCTAGATTCTCTTACAGCTACAGTGCAGGCATGTGACCTGGGCTCCACTGATCTGGAAGCAAGTGATGTGACATGGGTGGAACATGGAGCTGACAAGGGTGTTAGTAGAGACATTCAGCTTTCAGGAGTAATGGTGACAGAGGTCCTGTTGGGAATATACAATGCCCAGAATAAGTAGCGAGAGGTCAAATGTCTGTGCCTAGCCCTGGAGGCTGTGAGGTCTCTGCTGGATGGGGTGCAATGTGGGCACTGTTCTAGCTTGTGTAGCCTCAAAGCTGGGTTTTCCGGTTTCAATGTCCAACAGAAGTTTTAAGCTCTACTAAATGTTTAGCTTTATGGAACTACCATAGGCCACACTTAGTCCAGCAGGACATCATCAGATGTTTCAGTAGTGGAAGTCCTAATAGGAATTCACCCACCATCCCAGCACTATCTTCTGTCCAGGTGACACTCAGGTGTAAGGAGATGAGATCCACTTTGGTGGTTGTGGAAACTTCCCTAGTTTATGAACCCCAACATCTCTTTTAACAACTTCATAAAAATAGCTTCCAAGGTCCTTGCATAAATATTGCCAGTATAAGAGTCAATGAATTCAAGACAGTCCAAAGCTCTGGATATTTATGAAATACTTATAGTACTACCAGACCAGATCTAATATATCAATTTAGGGTCATTTTGACCATAAGTAATGTTGCTTAGTAGCACAGTTAATACTGCAATTTTTAGCAGGTTTCCAGAGGAACAGAGTTAGAGAATTAACCCAAGGTCAAATTCTCATGAAGAAGGAAAAGAAGATTGGTAACCTCTGCCTATGCTGGACCTCCCAGAGGGTTTTTTTTCCTTGCTTTAAGCAGTCATACTAGGTTCAATTTTTACAACTAAGCATTCCTATTAGTAGTGTTGCTGCATCAAGGATACCTCCACTCACTTGGATTCTGATACATTTCTTAGCGGAAAAGAATGGGGAAGAGTTGTACTTAGAATGCTGGAAATTTTGCATAACCCTGATTGTGTCTATTGGTGTATGTTAAAATTTGAATATCATTTATCACATAGGCAACAGATAAGAAAGCATTAAGAAATGATGGGTCTGGGGTAATCTTTCAGTAGGGTGAATGTCTTGGAAGATGTATTTGGGTACCATTAACTGCTAATGTCAGTTGCGTTTGCTTTATTAACTCTACTTCTTCAAGTATCACTTCTTCCATTTGTTAAGACTATTTTGTTTTTCCCATTAGTTTTCCTCAAATAGTTGACTGGTGATGGTATACTTGTGTTTGTGGTTGAGATTACCCTAGTAGACAGTCTGCCATGTCTATTTGTATAGCTCTTCTTGCATAGGGACTGAGAACTGCTACCGCCTAGGTATAAATTCTGGTTTGTTTTCAGGGAGACTGGGGTAGAGCAGAACTACCTAATTGTCTAGTCTTCAAGGTGAAGCTGATCTGTGCCTTTAATGCATTACCACCTACATTGGGCAACAAAATGCTTCTATTATCCTACTATTTTTTCATTTTGTGGCAACAAATTACTATATCACCCATGGACAAATGCATCTAGGAGTCACTGATATTTCCCATAATGATAGAGGGGAAGAAAATCTTGTCATATGTTTGTGATGATTCCATTTAAAAGTAGCAGCCTCAGTGGCCCCTACAATCAAAATTAAGGTGTTTACATTTATCATTATTATTTGGAAAGTAAATATTCCCTAATTATAATCTTACAAAAATTTATCTGAGCTTTTTAGAAAAATAAAAGTATCTGAGGTAACTGAAAGATTTCAGAAGCTCAAAAAATACTAGCCAAGGTTCTGGAAAATTTTAAATTATAGAAATTTCATGCTGGCACTGAATTTCTTCAAAATCCCACAGCGAAAAATGAAACTATCCAAAGCAAATGCAGCAACTCTAAAGCTGTGCCCACATGAAAGAGTAGAATGGTGCATGTGGGCCTCGTGCCAATTGCTCTAGCCAAGAAAGGCTCTTCTGACAAGGAGAAATAGTTTCAGGCACAAAACAATCCGTATTTCAGTCAACAAATATTTCTCAGGCTTTCTGATGGGCATGAACAAAAGCATACTAATATTGAGCCCCCATTCCTGGAAGAACTCCTAGACTTGCAGAGAATCATCTAAGCACTGTGGCCCTACTTGACTTTGCCAGAATAGAAATGAAGAGTCAAGGAAATGTTTGATGGTGAGGGTGGGGGAGAAGTAGACAGAAAGAGAGACAGAAAAGCAACTCCCAATTCGAGTTCTATCTCCCACTGGAAATTTCTCGTTGATGGAGGTTTTGGTATGGAGTTGATGTAAACACTTGACTAAAACAGTTAGAGGCTTTTTCTTCTCCGAAGGAAATGTGTATTTTCAGATGCTAAACACCAATGCCTAGTCCTTCAGGGAACAGGAAGAAGTAGATTTTGTCTAGAAGGAATCACACACAGGCTTCTGTTGGGACAATGGTACCAGTATTTTTGAACAACAACAAGAAAAGAGCATATCAGCTACTTTTTGGGAGGTGGGGAGAAGAGGGGGCGTCCCCTCGTACCAGGCATGGCACCGATGTCTTAGCTATAACATCTAATTCATTGTTGATGCCAGTCCCACGAGGCTGGTCTTAGTCTCATTTTACCCCTGAGGAAAAGAGCTTCAAAGAGCTGAAATGACCTGTTCAAGGTCTCAGAGCTAGAAGAAGCAAAGGTGGAACCCAACCTCAGAGGTCAATCTGACTCCTAAAGCCATGCTCTTTCCAGAGGACCAAAGTGAACAGAAATAAAATAGGACAAGTTTCACTTCGTGTTGTGTTATTGCCTGAAAATTCAACCACAATGGGATGGAAAGACCAAGATAAGTGACGCCAACAAATACTGGGACATGTTCTCTTTACTCTGCCATCCCTTGTGGCTCATCCTCTTTAAAATTTGTCCTAGAAAGTATGGAACCCTTAGATGGTCTTCCTGGAATGGAGCTCAGAGGCGGCGATGTCTGTCTGGAGATGGAGAGGGAGACGTCTGCTGAGAGGTGCGGACTGAAGGTGACGTGATGGGGGTGAGTCAGAGAAAATATGCTGTTGTACAGGCAGTGGGTGGTGGGGGAGGGGGAGCTAAAGACCGAGGTTCCCCAGAGGCCAATGGTTTCTGTTCTCTCCACTCTCAGCATTCACACTCACAGAAAGCAGAGTCTTGGTGTGTCTGGCTGAGGTATTTTCTGCCCAGGGACCATGGACATTTTGCCATCTCTCATCTTGGGCATGTTTGGCACATGAAAATAGGCACAGGGTACTCACTGATTTGGCCTGGATAGCAGGAGACCTGAGTAATCCCCTGATTAAGTCAACGCCAGACAGGAGTGAAATATTAATGCTAATTTGGGACTCTTAAAAAAAAAAAAAAAGGCAACTTCTGTCTAGCCCAGGCTCCATCTTCTTTCTATAACCAGAAGCCGAGAGATGTGGTTTTGTGAAGGAGCCCAATTAAGTCCTAACCCATCTTGGCAGGAACAGAGAGCACCAATGAGAATTTCAAAACAACTTGGAAACATTTAACAGAGGAAGGAAAACTGCACTGAGCTCAAATGGGAGTTTCTTAGCTACATGCAGTTAATACCCAAAACAATAAAAAAGTGAACATTTATGTGCTGCGTTATTCAATTCACCTAATCTTCAAACAGCCTTAGGAAGGAATTACTCTTAATAGCCCTGTTATGCAGATGAAGAAACTGAGGTACAGAGAGGTTAAGACCCTTTCCCAAGACCCCCTGGCTTTGAATTAGAAGGGCCTGGATTTGAGCCCAGAAGTCTGGGTTCCAGAGCTCGCTGTCTCAACCACTGTTCTGATAAATGGGCATCACTACTACAGCAGTTGGAGTAAAGAGGCCCACGTGGAGGAGGGATCTGACTCATGGACACTGTGGGGAGATGGGCTCTGTAGCCCTGTCCCCAGAGGAAGGGGGAACGCCTCTACGCAGCCTCCGCCCCCGAGGGGGGTTTCCGAGGCCCTGACTCTGAGAGGATGAAATCGTCCTCAGAGAACCCTCAGGTTTTCCAGATGGAAGGGAACCTGGGAACCACTTATTCAGCCACGGGTTGACAGACAGGGAGACTGAGGCACAGGAAAGCAGAGGAATGGTGCCAAGGAGCCGCAGAAGCCAGGTGAGACGGAGCTTCCTCTTCCGGGAAGCTCTCCCTTCCTTCTCTCCTGCTTTTCCTTTCCTGCGAGGAGTCTGCTTCCTCCCGCCCCCCTGCATGGCCCACTTTAGATGAGCAGGAATTTATGGTCCAACCTCCCTGCCCCTGGGAGGTCCCCGGCAGCCAGGATAAAATGAAGACAAGACCCAAGGAGCAGGGATCCCCTGAATCTGCCTTCACAAGGAAGCCCTTCGCACCACCGAGGCTCCCACCCCTCCAGAATTTGCAGACCTGCTCTTCTCACCCAGGCCAGATTTCACCTGGAACAGGACTGGCCCTACGAAATCCCATTTCCAAGGCTCCACCAGGGTCTCAGGTCCCCTCTGAGGGCACATGATTCCCATCTGGACCCCTCCAGGGAATTTCTGGGAGCTGGGCAATTCTGATCCCGGCGTCCCTCCCCTCCTCCACCCCTGCACGTCCACAGAGGCAGTGCCCATCTTGCCACCACAGGGTGGTATTGGCCAGAGGGGAGCTCCTCTCTTTTGCAAGGTAAAGGCAAGTCTTACCTTTCCACCTGGAGGTTGACTTTGGAAGGCTCCACATTGGGATTTTCCCACTCCATTTGCGGGCAGTGCATGAAATAGCAAAGGGTGTATAGGGCCTCAGGCTCCCAGTAGAGCGCCCCCTGCTTTTGGTGCAGGGGCGTGCCATTGCCGTGGTGCTTGGCATTGAGGGGCTGCAGGTGGTGCATTGCTCGGGACACCAGGTCACCTGTAGACAGAAATAAGATTTCAGGTCCTTCAGGAAGCAAAGACTTGCAGAAAAGACGTGCCTGAAGATCGTTGAGAAACCCTGTTTAATGGACAAGGACACTGAGACATACGGTCACAAGGTTAGAGGCACAGACAGATTTCAGCCCGGGTATGTCTGACCCTCATGCCCGCATTCTTTACCCCGCACTGACCTAGTTCTTTTCTCCGAGACAGCCCAGTGCAGCCCTGCCCAGCTCCAAGTTTGCCTTAAGGGTATTAGGTATTATGTAGCCCAGGTGTTAACAAATGTTCTTTACCCTTGAGTTAGTAATTCCATTTCTGGGACTCCGTCCCGATGTTAGAATCCAAAATGCAGCAAAATCTTCATGTACAAGGATTTTCACCCAAACCTTATTTACAGGGTCCAAAGATTGACAAAGAAACAAATGTTTAGAAATAAACTGTGGTTAAATAAACTCTGGTACATCCACATGATAAAATCATAAACTTAAAAAGTCATTAAAAATGTTTACATAGCGATGCAATAAAATGAAAAAAAATCCTTATGTTAAAATGGTAAGTGGGAAAAAATTGACATTCAAAATTGCATACAGTGTGATTAGGATTATGTGATTTAAAAACTATGCACTGAGTAAATACCAGAAAAAAGTATCAAAATGTTGACCAAGGATTTGCCTGCCTAGCGGGATTGTGGATGATATTCTTTCATATCCAACTTTTCTGTAGTTTCTGAATTTTGAATTTTGGCCTGCACTACTTGCTATTATCAGAATAATAAGCTTACTGAGGCAGTGTTTACTTCTCGAACCTTCCATCTAGGGTCCACTTGGAGTGCACTCACTTTCCCATCTGTTTTTCTTGAGAGCTCCCATAAAAAAGCTCAAAACAAGAAAAATCCAAAGGCGTGGAGAAGAGAAGAGGGGCTGTGTTTAGGGTCCTTGAGCCACCTCTCTGGTCTCTAAGACACCGGGGAGCCTTTTGCCTCTGGCGGGCCAGCCATCTCCTCTGAGCCTCACTCAGCTCGCCCTGCACTTCCAGGTTTCCTGCTTTTGTTCTTGTTGCCTCCACACCTTGGAGCGCCCTTTCCTTCATTCTCCCAGCTACCGAAGACCTTCAAAGCTATGCTCCAGTGCCTCTTCTTCCATGGAGCCCTCCAGAACGCCCCCAGTTGGAATCAATCTCCCCTTCCCCTGTGTATCCACAGCATCTGCTAATAAAGTCTAACATATTACTTGTTTAATTCTGTCACGTTTCCCAGTTAATTGTCCGCACGTCTACTGAGCCTCAAGGGCAGAGACCACGATTCATTCCTCATCCTGTTTCCAAAGGAGCAGCGTCGTATACGTGGTTGGAGACGCGCTCTCTGGACACAGACTGCCATCATCACCGCCATCACCAAAGCCACCAACATCATCATCACGATCACCACCGCCGCCGCCATCACCACTCGCATCAGCCTGGCCCCTGCATCAGAGGTCCCGAGGGTGTCTTCGAGCAGGGCTGGCCATGGGCGATGACGCTGGTGTAGGGACTCCGCCATCACTAGCTCCGCTTTAAACCCTGCTTTTTGTACATGCTACCTGCTGCTTCACCGGCCAGCTTCATGGACCCAACACAATAAATGGCTCGTAACCAGCTGCCCTGAGTCTGGGCAGCAGGAGTTCGGCTCTAGAAACCTACTTGAGAATCCACCTATGACCAGGTTTCCCAAACGTCGGCCATTTGGGAATCACCCTCAGGACTTCTCTCCCGTCCGCGTGCTGCAGGTACAATTTATTTACTTAATATTGTTCTTTAAATTGGCTCATTCTTTACCACAAATAAATTCACTTTAAAAGGAAACCTCCTATCAGTGCTGTAAATGGAAAACCAATATTTTTCTTGTACTCATAAAAAATTCATAGCAATTTCTAAATGAAATAAGCCAGGCGGCGAAACACAAATTCCGTATGATGTCACCTATAAGAGGAACCTACTGAACAAAACAAACAAACAAGCACTATAGAAACAGAGGCAGAGAAACAAGGACAGACACACAGTGGCCAGTGGGGGAGGGGGAAGGAGATGGGGGGAAGAAGGGGAAGGGCCTACGCAAGGAACACGTGTAAAGGACCCGTGGACCAGGACAACAGGGTGCGCGTGGACTGCGGGAGCGGGGGTGGGCAGGCCAGGGGAGAGTAATGCGGGAAGACCGGGAGAACTGTCACAAAATAACGCAAAAGTGAAAAAATTCATAGCAATGAAAAATTAAAGGTGTTTCCTGTATCACCTACAACCATCTATGTGCTGTCCTTTGGGAAATGCAGCTCTAACCTGCCAGGCTCAAACTATCAGTGCATCTCAGACTAAGCCACCCTCCCGCATGCCCATGTGACTGTCCTGGGACAAAGTGCACACCTTGCAAGGTGGGCTCCTTCTGTCTAAGCCTGAGCTTAGACAGCCCCTTGACTTTCTTCCCTGCCTCGGGCAGCTACCACTTACAAAACCTCCCACAGCCGGGCAGTTGGAGGGCAGTGGGCTGTGGCCTGTCTTGGAAGAGCCTGTCTGCATTTCAAACAAGGAGAGAGACCTCTTGTCCAAGCAGTAGGGGCTGTTTTGTTTTGTGTCTTTATTTTTTTTTTCTGGTGGCACATTGGAAAGACGACCCAGAAACCCTTTTTCACACAGTTGTAAATTAATGGCCCTGTTTTGATTGCCTCATTGAGTGGGAGCAACAAGTTCACAGTTAAGTGTGAAAAGAGAACAGGAAGAGGCATTTTTTAAACGAAGCCCTCAGTTTTCCCCTTTAAACAACAGAAAGCAATTATACTATAATTGATGGCTGTCCAATGGGGGTTAATTGGGAGCGGGGGCGGGGGCCAGACTGGGATGTCTGACAGGAGAGTGGAGGCAAAATCTCGGAGGACATGAACGCGGGATTAGATGGGACCAAATGCAGAGGCAAGCTCGTTCAAAAGCGAGAAAACCCAGGGCTTCGGCTTTCCCAGCGGCCTCGGTTGGGGGACTGGGTGGCCACGATTGCCCCAGACATGGTTCAGATGCTGGTTCAGGGAAGGAGACTTGGACAGTCCGCCAGATGCCAAGTCAGTCGTGAAGTTCAGCACATAGCCTTGCAAATGTCCTAGCCCTTGCGGTTAAAGAGTCACCAGCCTGTGTCAGTTTGGAGACCGCTGTGGTATTCTGATTTAAAAATATTGGAATGATTAGCTTCTCATTCAAATATTTCAGGCATACAGAGGTACAGTTCTGGTTCTCTTGAGTTCAAAATTCAGTCCAACAGAGTATTTAATATTTTACTGAAGTCTCATAAAGAGTTTCCCTAATCTGTAGCATTTTCTTCAGCTTTTTTCTCCCCGCAGATCAGTTCACTGTGGGTCATTCATACACTCATGTGACGTTCAACAGGTATTTCCCAAGCTATGGGCCATGTGTTAGGTGGTCAGTGGAATTGAAGGCAAAGTGGAACTGGAACCTACTCTACTCTACTCAAATTGGAACCTACAGCACAGCAGAGCAGAAAAAGAAACATCAGTGTTTAAATTATGACTCTGCCTTGGGCCAGGCATTTATCCTTCCAAGTCTCAGGTTTCTTACCTGTGAAATGGGAACAATACCTTTAATGTATGTAAAGCACTTGACACACAGTAGGGGCTCCAGAAATAGTGGATGTATTTTCACCGCAAACCGTAACAGGCTGGACAAAGATGGCTCTGGGCGTCACCATTGATTAAGGCAGTTCTGGATTTTAATACGATGCTCTGAGGACAGAGGCAGGGGGTGTCAGGCGAAGTCTCAGCCGGCCCGGGTGGAGCCCCATCTGGGTGCCTGATGACGAATCTTTGTGAATTTTCGCATCTCCAATTTAGTTTCCAGGAAAGCGTCCCCCGTGCACCCTGCGGAGCTAAGTTCAGATCCTTGGCTGGAAGGAACACAGACCTGACCGACTCCCTGATCTTACAGAGCGGGGCTCTCCTGTCCCCTGTCACATGTAGAAACAGCCGCTGGGCGTCCCCCAGGAGGAGCCTTGTCTAGTGTTGAGGTGGGGAAGCTCTGCCTGGAGACCTAGCTTCAAGCTCCAGTCCTTCAGCTCACAGGTGTGGTTGATCTTAGACAAGTTGTTGATTCTCTTCTCACCTCCATTCCCATATCAGTGTGGACCATAATGGTTACATTGGAGATGATTCCTATAGATTTCTCATAGTTCCTTAGTTCAACAGCATCAGCCGCTGCTGTCATTATTATTGGCTCTTAAGAAGGTCATGGTCAGGGGCTCTGCCCTTGAGCCTGGACAGCCTGATTCTAGAACAGCAGGGATGGCTGGCAACAATTTCTCTCCACCTCGTCTTTGCCGGAAAAACAGTTGTGTCTAGAATCCACACTGGCAGAGTAACCTTTGAATATGAGGAACAGCTCTTTATGTACACAGAGAGAGCAAGGCTGTATTGATTCAGACCACAGTGCAATCCAGTCTAAATTACAGTCAGATCAGAAAAGAAGGCAATTTTATTATCTTCAGTCGCCCACGTAGCTTATCAACATGCTTCCTCGCATATGTTCTATGGGGCCTGCTTAATGAATGTACAAGACCCATTGGTAATTAGCAGCACCCATTTGTGTGCCAACAATTCATATGCGAAAGTCAACATTCAACCACAATGACAGCATTTAATTTGCAGAGCAAATTGTCCTTAAAAACAATTTATGCGGCAAGCCGCTCCTGCAGACTGCCTGCTTAGGTGAAGTGCAGATTTGTTTAGCAAATCCTTTCTTCTAGGAGAGCTCTGGAATTAAGCAGAGTTCCAGCCCAGGTGTTAGACATGGCTGAGAGGGGCCACTAAGGTATCCCAAGACAAACCTTTGAGACCACAGGGGACAGAGTGTGTGGACGAGGTAGAGTGGTGGCCTTTTCCCAGGTGATGCCTACGCACATGTCCCCAGCACAGTAGCCAGCCTCTGCATTTCCAGGGTCGTAGGCATGTCTTGGCATTTCTACTTCGAGTGATGTTTCCCCAAGGGTTCTGTTTGGATGCTCTGTATCTGAATCCCGGGGCACTGTTAAAATGCAGACATTTCCTCATCCTTTTCCAATTGTTGCAGATGTCTCAAAATATCTTTGCACACCTCAAAATAATGGGGTCATCCAAGCTGCTGCTCACTCTCGTTAATGTACTAGCAAAAAAGCACAGAACACTATACCGCAATTTAGATGAAAATTTTAGTGTAATTGGTTTCTCTTGTCAATGCAGGCACTTTATTTTATACATTTAAAAATATTCAGAGGCAGAGTCCATCAGATTGCCAAAGGGGTTCATGGCACCCAAAAGTTTAAGAAAAATCACATGACTGGCTGGTAATGGGAAGCCCCTGTGATTGGAGCATCTCACGGCCTTAGGGGTTTGATGAGAAAGGAAACGTAATTTTCAAATTCAGGTGCAGGAAAGTTGCTCTAGCGACCGTAAGGACCCCCTACGGCTTGAATCAGCTACTATTGTACTGTGCTTTCCAGAGGCGCCCTGTGCTGAATGGACGGTGCCTGCCTGTCCTGGGTGTACAGGGAATTTTCATGGGAAGAGGCCCACACTTTCTGGATCCTGAAAGCCTTCACAGTTCAGGATTTTCTAGACTCCCCCACCAACTCATACTTTAACATAACCCAAGTGTTTCTGAGATCAATGCTCTAGCGCCACCAGGAACTAACACACAGCTGAGCCTTTTGACAGTCAACGGGTTCATAAGTAATTACGGATTTACTTTGCTTTGGCTGGCCAGGCTCAGAGAGCACAGCCCTAAATTAAGAGTGCACAAGCATGACATGCCACTGCTCACATCAGGGCATCTCCATCTTCTTCACAACCCCTCCCCTCTCTCTACCTCTCTCTGTCTCCCCCCGGCCCCCATATTTTGTATTTCCTGAGGACCTACTATTGCCAGGCAGTATTCTTGGTGCTGGGGTTGCATCACTGAACAAAACAAACATCTCTACTGTCCATGAGACTATATTGCAGTAGGGAGAGAGGGGCAATTAAAAAAAATAAATGAGTGCAATGCAGGATGTGACTGAGGGAAGGGCAGTGACTGCTAATGGTTATCAGGTTTCGAGGTATGAATGGAAATGTTCTAAACCTGATTGTGGTTATGGTAGTCACAGCTCAGGAAACATACTAAAAATCATTGAATTGTATGCTGTAACTAGGTGAACTGTATATCAACAAAAAACCAACAAAAACAAAAAAATAGAGTATGCCATAGGGTAACTGCTGGGGAGAAAGGTAAAGTAGGGAAGGGGATCAATGTCCGCAGGGGGTCATCATTTTAAAGAGTGGCCAGGGAAAGCCTCAGGGAGAAGGTCACATTTGGGTGAGACTGCAAGGTGAGAGCAAGCCACGCGGACATCTGGAGGAAGAGTGGTCCAGGAGGCAGGAACAGTAAGCGCAAAGGCCTTGATCATATGCTTGCTATGTTCAAGGAATGACCCAGGCCAGGTGGCTGAAGTTCAGTGGGTCACAGGGGGCCGTGGGAGAAGATGTTTGAGCGACATGGGTGGGGGCCCTGGAAGCGATTTTGAGAACTTTGGTTTTTCCTCTGGGTGCGATGGGGACAGATGTGAGCCAATATATGCTTTAAAGAAACCCTATTGCGAAAATCAAGGGAACAGCCACCATTTACAGAATGCTCACTGTGCGCCAGGCATGTGGCAAACTCTTTTATGGGCATTAGCTCATTGAATCACAACTATGCTCTAAGTGAGGGACTATTATTTTCTCTCTTTTAGGAAACTGAGGCTCAGGGAAGGTTAGGAACTTGACCTCCGTCAGTGGCAGGGCCAGGGAACCGACCAGGTCGCCTGACTGCAGAACCCTCGTCTCGCCCGCGGCCATCACGGCACCGTTACACACATGGCTGGTGTTCAATGAAAGCTGTCCCCTGGCTGGTTACAAAGCACTGCCCTGTGGGCAGCGGCACCTCGGGAGCAGAGAGGGCGGGAGAACCAGTGTCCACTTACTCAGTTCTGCGATGCTGCCCACGCGGGTGGCCAGCAAGGACTGCTCGATGGTCCTCAGCTCCGACTGGCTGAATATGGGCAGTTCTCCCGGCTTGCTTGACCGCTGCGGGTCTCGGTGAAGATTCAGGCTGTCCGGCAGGCACAGCACTCCTGCAGTCAGCGGGAGAGAGGGTGAGAGGACAACAGGTTGTTACCGTCCAGTTAACTGAAGGAGGGGCGCCCCGCCTCGCCCAGCCTCAAACCACACCGAGGTTGTTGCCACAAAGCCACCGTGACGACCGAGGCACCAGACTCCTTTCAGAAATAACGTTGAGCCATTTTAAAATGTTTTCTCAAGGTCCTGACCTGCTCATTTTAACAAATGTGTGGGCATTTGCCTGTGTGCACATTTCCAAAGGACACAAAACAGAGCAGGATTCTAGCTGCTCAGAGATGCCTCAAGGGAAACCCGTGGTCACTTGCTCCAGCTGCTGTCCCTGAGTGTCCTGCAGGAAGAGCCTCTGCTGGCAGTCATTTCTGAGGACTTGCTTTATTAGCCCAACAAATTTAACTCCAGGTGGCTGGGCTGTTATCTGTTAGATAAGGCTCTGGCTTTTTCTGTGGAGCTCAATGTCAGGAGGCAAAGAGTCCCTGTGGAAATCCCTGGAATCCAATTATCCTCTTCCCCACCTTTCCGTTCCGTGAACACTTAGCGAGAACACCAGCACTCGCTCTGGTAGGTGAGGCAGACAGTGTTCACTGTCGCCTTCGCTGCCCGAGCCTCCCTAGGCAAGGTGTGCTTCCTCACTCCTTGACTTTGGGCTTGACTACTCACTCTGGCCGAAGGTATGTTCACAAACACAACGGAACTAAAGGCCTTGCAAGCACCTGTGCAGCTGAACTTGCTCTCTTGTGCCTCTGCCATCATCACGAGAAAAACATGCCCTGGATAGCCTGCTGGTCTGAGGAGGGTGAGAGACACACAGGGCAAGTCCAGTACCATCACAAAGCTTAGAGCTGCCCCACAAAAGCAGATGCTAATTTGGTATGTCATTGAGATAGTGGGGTTGTTTGTTATTCAGCATCATGATGGTGATAACTAGCAGATACACCTATCAAGTGCCAATCCTTGAGGGGACAAAGAACAAGGCAGGCATTGTGCTGTGTTAGGGACCGAGGACACAGTGATGGACAGAAAACATAAACTCCCTATCCTCAGTGGGCTCACGCCCTAGGCAAAGGAGACAGACTGCCATACACACATACAAAGCCATATGATAAATGCTCTGTGGTAGGAGAAAATGAGGAATGAAGGCATGTCTTAGCAGGGACCTGAACAATGAGTAGTTGTCAATAAACAGGAAGCAGTTAGTACCTGCTGTATTCCCAACCCCATTAGGCATTTGAAGACACACACACACACACACACACACACACACACACACACACACACAAATTGTGTTTGAGTAGTTTATGAAGTAACCGAAGAGATAAGACTGGCAGTGATAAAATAATTTAGGAACGATAGGGTAGTATCAATATACAGGTGCTAAGTTATTTAAGGCAACTCACTGGGTGAGGGGAAACAGGATACAAAGGTCAGTAGTTCAAGCCCACTCCTCATACTCCTGGTACTGCAAAAACTCGGCAAACAAAGGTTCCTCCTTTGAAGACAGGCAGATGTGAGGGGGCACCTGCCATATACCTCTTCTGGCCCATGCTGCCAAACGAGTGGCTCCAGCCAGACTGAGCCAGTCATTTTTCCTGGATGTTTCAGCTCCACACCTAACAGGCTGATACAACAGGAAAGGTAACTACAAAAGACCTTTTGGGGATGAATAATGAATAAACAGATGAACGATGTAAAGGATGATTCGATTTCAGTGTTCCTATAATCAGGAAACTGGTCAGGTAGGTTTCTTCCAAAGGCTGTTCTTTAACCATCGTTTTCCAAACATGTTTGACCGGGATTCAGAATAAGAACGAATTGTGTATGATGGCCCAGTACGCCGACTGCTAACACCACCACACATACATGCACTCGTCATGTTTTCCATTAAAAATAAAAACTTCAAGGAAAATAATACCGGCACTTATTATTATCCCATGATGCACTCTATTTTTTCTTTTGATTTCGATTTTATTCATAAAAAAATGCTGTCTGCAAACGTGACTTCGTGATCCACAACTGGGTCATGATGGGCAGTTTGAAAACCACCGCGGATGGTGCTAGTGCACAAATTGGCATTAACGGGACAATACAGAGTCACCACGTACTGGGTGCTACCTGGCGCCGTGCGAGGCTCCGCGTGGGACGTGATCCTCACACTTCAGCAACCCTCAGCTTTTCAGGAAAGACAAGACCTTCACAGAAATCCCCATCATCCAAGGCTGGCCTCCTGCCTGTCCCCTTTCACGGAGCTGCTGAGTCATCCTCCTGTTGGCTGGGGACGCCCTGAGTCATCTTTGCTTCCTCCTGTTTGTTCACCGGCCCAGACATTTGGTCGGAGGCCAGATCGAGTATACATTGCTCTGGCAAGGATGTTGGGCCAGTTCCTCATCTGATGTCCCGGATTCCGTGGCTCTTATTCAGAGATTTACGACCTTGGAGAGCTCACTGCGGATGGTACCAGATGGCTGTGACCCAGCGCGGTAAGGAACCTGAAGTTTCTGGTGATGAGGGAACGGGGTGGTGGTCTGGGGGGCTTCACAGCAAAGGAGGCCCGAGAGTGAGCCCTGAGTGTAGGAAGGATGAAAGTGCCTAATTAATAGGAGACATGACCTCTCCGTGTTCTCGCAGGATTGCTTTCTTGGTATTTGCTTTAGGTGCAGCAAGTTCTCATTCCAGGCCTGCATCTGAAATGTTGCTTCACACATTGGTTGGGACATAAGCGAACAGGATATGGAGTCTAAAACCCAAAGTTTCAGCCCTGGCTCCATCACTGCCCACCAGTGTTTAACCCTGGGCAGGCCAGAGAGCCACTCTGGGCCTCACGGCCTCTTCTATGAAACAGAGGGGACAATAATTCCTTGTCTCCCTCATGGGGTTGCTGGGGGTGGAGGGATAAAATGAGAAAATGTATATCAAAGTATTTTGCAAGTGCTGAGCAAATAGCAGGTGCTCAGCATATGTTAACTGAGATGAAATCAGTTAATGTGTACAAAGCTTTAGACTATTTTATGTTTCATCATAAGAATAAACAATTTCCCTTGGGATCATTCCTCCTTCTTTTAGAGGGCTATGAAATTTAAATGTGAAAACATAATTATTCAAAGAAGCTTTTAAAGTTAGATTACTGAGATTTGGAAAATCTAAATCGAACTATTATGCAAAGATTATATACGAGGATTTATTCCCTCCCTCCTTGCCTCCTCTTCTGAGGATCCTAGATGGAGTATAACATACACTAGAGGGTTTTTTTGGGGTCTAACAATCAACTAGGTCAATAAAAAGGTCCTAGCATCATATTTGGGTGTCAGACACAGGCTTCAGTTTTGGACTGCTCACCAGTTTCCATTATGGAGCCACGGACAGCCACATCCTGGGCATTAAAACTCAAGTTCAAAGACATGGAGAAAGAAGGGCCAAATATGAGTTTGATTGGACCTAAAGGGAATAATTCCCCTGGAGAGAAAGTGATCATCAGCTCTGGTGCATGATAGGCTGGAAGAGGTCACGGTCTCCCTGAAATTCTCCTATGCTGGAGCGGGCTGTGCGTTTGTCTAGGGGGAAGTTCATTCACAGTCTCAAGGGGGTGGTCTGTGGGTCCCAAAAGATGATGACTACAGAATGCCTTTGAGGCCCACATTCCCAGCTATGACCACGTGTCCTGCTCTGGGACTGACTGTCCCACAGGTGGGACAGCACGGGCGGGGCCTGACCGTGGGCCCGGGCAGAGCTGAGCTCCAATCCAGTTGCAGCCCCTTGTGTAGCCCAAACAAAGAACCTCCCAGATCCCCAGTCAGCTTCTGTGTCTGCAAAGAGGGCTTAAAATAACTACTTCACCGGTTTGTTTTGGTGATTAAGCAAGATAATATATTAAAGCTTCTGGCCTAGAGTAAGAGCCTGCTAAATACCCTGTGCCCACAAATAAGCAGTTTTGTTTATTTAATGTCCGGATTCAGATAGTCTTGAGGATCATCTTTCTAAAATCTTGTGCAACCGGAGAAGGACAACCTTTTGGTCAGGTCACTTAGAACATGACACACGAGAGCCGCTCCTCTGGGTGGGCCCCTGGGCCAACCACATCTGGTCTCTGTCTCTGATGGGCAAAATCAGGGTGCACGTCTGCCTTGCTAGATGTCCACCATCCCATGTACACAGGACGGCCTCTTGGCAAGTATAACCCTCTGCCATCCTTTCTCTCCTTTCAGCTTTTCTCTGTGTCTCCATCTATTACAGGACCTGGACGCTATTTACCCACCAAGAGAAAACCAAACAAGACAGCCATCAGCACTCATCTGCCCTCCGCTCTTTGATGACGGTGGAGGAGGAGGAGGCCGCATACATCTTGGCGTCCTGCACACAGGCTTGGGCTGTGCCTTGTCTGTCTCTGGCTGCAAGAAGAGTCTGCCTGATCCTTGCCTGCCAAGCTACACCTTGTTTTCTGCTAAGTTATCCCAGAATTTAAAGTGAAGGGTCTTGGCATCGATCCCAGCTTTAAGAAATGGGAAGGCGGCAGCTGGGTGCAGCGGACCGGCCCTGGGACAGGCTCCAGGCAGAGCCGGCCGGGTTCGGTTTCCTGCCTTGCCATCCCCCAGCTGTGCGGCATGGGGCTTGGGATTTGGCTCCTCTGAGCTTCTGTCTCTCCCTCTATAAAATGTTTCATACTATCTACCTCCTAGTGTGATTGGGAGGCCCTAATGGGATAATATATATGGACAACCTGGCCCAGAAAAGGGGGATTGATAAATGCTTGCTAATAATCCAAGTGAAGTTCTTCGAAGCTCAAGATTTAGGAATTCAATAATAACACAATGCCAGAAGGCTCTCTGTTAGTGTAAAATTTATTAAGAAACAATATACGAAGTTATCAGATTTTTTCCCCCTAATGTTTGCACAACCATTTGATTTTGAGACTTGTCAGTCGGAAGTAGATTCAGAGCAGCCTGAGCGAACCCATTCGTCTGGGAGAGGCATGCTGTACCCCAGTTAGGATAAGCCCAGACAT